GAATCCTTCCTGAATGCACTGGACAAAATCTGCAAAAATAATAGATACCTGGGAATGAGTCACAGATTGAAATCTGATCGGGGCTTCATGGTGATTTATATATAGAATAACAGATACTTGGAAGTGAGTGACAGACTGGAATCTATTTGAGGTATTCGGGATGGTTAATATAAAGAAGTGCTACAAACCGGAATCTAATCGAGAGGTACAGGATGTTTAGATATAGAGTAACAGATACCTGGGAGTGTGTTACAGATTGGAATCTAATGGAAGGGTTTGGGGAGATCTTTACATAAATAATAAGAGATATCTGAGACTGATTTATGGAGTGAAATCTAATCAAAGGATTTAGGTGTTTTTATGTAGAATAATAGCTACTGGGAGTGTGTTACAAGCTGGTGTATCATTGAGGGGGTTGGTGTGGGTTATATATAAAAGAACAGATACCTAGGAGTGTGTTACAGACTGGCATCTACATGAGAGATTCGGTTGTTCTGTATATAAAATAACAGAAACCTGGGAGTGTGTTACATATTAGAATCTAACGGAAGGGTTTGGGTGATTTCTACAGAGAACGATACCTAGAGTGAATTATAGACTGGAATCTGATCAAGGGCTTCGGGGTGATTTATATATTTAATAACAGATATTCAGCAGTGAGCTGCAGACTGGAATCTAATTGAGGAGTTCGGGTGGCTTTATAAGTAGAACAAGAGAAACCCGGGATTGAGTTACAGAGTGAAATCTAATTGAGGGGTTCAGGAAGTTTATGTTTAGAATAAAAGATACTTGGGAGTGCTTTCCAGACTGGAATCTGATCAAGGGGTTTTGGATGTGTTTTTTTAACAGATAGAATAAGTGATAATAATCAAGGACTTTCAGTGGTTTGTATTAGAATAACAGACAGCCATGAGTGAATTACACACTGCATTCTAATCAAGTGGCATAGGATAGTTTATATGTAGAATAACAGGGATGGCACAGCAGTTAGCACTCCTTCCTCACAGCGCCACAGACCTGGGATCGATTCCACCCTCGAGTGACTGTCAGTTCTCCCTGTATTTGCGTGGGTTTCCTCTGGGTGCTCTGAATAACAGATACTCGGGAGGGAGTTACAGACTGGAATCTAATCGAGGGGTTCAGGGTGGTTTATATA